CAGAGCAAAACCATGTTTATTATTCTCATGTTATTAAATCTACCAGAAAACTGAAGACCTGCAGTCACATGATTAAGACAAAATCATGCTTCGGAAAAAGCATGTATTTGATAAAACCTAAGTTGTAAAGAGGAACGTTAATTCTGACTTTCAAAATCGGATGATGGAGGTCAAAATAATATTGTTTGGTAGATTGAGGTTATTCCGAGACAGTAGCGGTTTCAAAATTATTTCATGTAATCTGACGTCAAAGATAGTTGCCAGTAAACACCAGTGCGAATGTGAATATACCAACTTGTTGATATTCTCACATCCTTTAACTCTTTAGTTGATAATTTCAGTCTATAGGTGCTAAATAAGAGTAAAGATATTGGTACTTCTCATTATTCCCGCTATCTAACTCTATTAGGCAAGCTCTTTCCTGCCTTGTTTCTGGGAATTATTTTATGATAAAGATACTAGTAAAATAAATGTGATTTGATTTTCGATTACCCAATGATTCTAACGAATGGTGACACGGCAAAATGTAGATCTGTTGAGACCTGAATGAACCAAAATCGTCAAAAAACTATGATACACTTGGATCGTTTGATAAGTTTTGGCAATATAAAAACTAGATTTGCAGGATAAAATAATAAGGTGCAATGGTTATTAGCATATGAAGTTATTTAATATTAGCAAGTCAACAATCATGGGTTGTTCGTCAAAATCATTGCCAATGCTTTGTAGATTATGTAATGAAAAGTGCAAGAACTATATTTAGAGGAGGGAAGAATTGTCAGACTGAGACTAACCTAGTGAGGTGAAATGTAAGTGAGTAGAATAAAATATAGAATTACTTAATTAGTAGACACCTCTTAGACACAGGATATCAGCCTGAAACTCATAGAGTTTCTGAAGTAAAAATGCGTAGACTACTACTCTTTTAGGAAACAGCTATGATGGAAAGCTTTCAATTTGACCCTCGCAACCAGAAAAGGATGGTATTCAGTCTCTTGTTTTCATGATGACTGTAATCTGATATTGTTTCACATAAATTACATGATTCCTTATTTATATCCGCTTACCTACTGATTTAAGTTCATTGAGTTAATTTCAGTCTTATAAATGATGATGTACAATTTTTGCACCGTTATCACATACTGCATAAATTAGCGATGATTTCAATGCAGAACCTGAGATCGTTTACATCCTGATTCTGAATAACTTTATGCGCCAATAACCAATGTAGTTTAATGTTTTATACAGCTGCGAAATACTCGTGAAATTAAATGATATCATTTTATTCTATACTTGACTTTAGAATCATCGCAAATGATTTCATAAACTAAACCAGTATGCCTAGTTGAATCAATAGGACGTTTTTATCTTCAAATTTTATCAAATTCTTTTTCAACGATCCCAAGATCAAAGTAGTCAGTCGGAGTCAATCAGACTATACAAGCGCAAAACCTTGCTAGGTCACAATTTGTAGATAAGGAATTTAGAAAACATCTCGACCATATCTATGCATGCTATTACATGAACACAATAAGATGTAACAAAGTGAAACCCATTGAAACTAAGAAGGTCAAGTGGAAGGAGAAATTGATAACTGAATCTTTGTTTGATGAATCAACACCTAACACATATAACAGGAATGACCTGACACCAGTTCTGTATATATGGAAAGTCCTACTACCCACGACACAAGGGAGTCGATAAAATTTGGACCATATAAGGGTAGTCTCGAAGTTGTGTAGCTATCTTGATATGACTAGTAACAGTGAGTTATGACCGAAAGGTAACCTAGTGAACAATACCCTTTCACTCTGATAAATCTAATAAATGGACTAAAGTAGGATATTTTAATCAGTTCCCACATGTTTATATAAGGCTGTCTCAGTAATGAGTAGCAGAGGTTATTGCACATTTTCAATGTCATTAAAGCTGATTCACTCTTACAAACGTTATTCAGAAATAAAAATATGTCACTGAAAACGAAAATAAAAATATATTCCAACCGTTTCAGCGTCAGCTGCACATGGATAAATAAACATATTTGGCAGTAAAAAGGCTAAATAAAATATCATAAACAATCTTGACTCAGCTCCAATTACCCTAAAGACTTAACTGAATTAATTTCTCCATGGCGAAACACCGCCAGTGCATATCATAGTAATAATGTTCCTGTTTGGCTCAAAACTTTATGCCCTTGAGTTACCTTTGTTAATATTCAACCTTTACCTTAACTAATCACATCTAAAGGAATATGTTCTGTTACATATTTGTAAAGGTATCTGGATAGCTTCCCTCCGCCTGTTTAGGTGTCGTGCTATATTTCATTTATTTCAAAAAAGGTTTTCCTTCCTACATAAAGCACATGAAAACTAACTTTTATAAAAAGATTTCAACATTGCATGAATAATAATGTTGACTTAAATATAATAAATTAGTCATCTAAATATTGCGACTCAATGAAAGAAGAAAATGACGTCTTAATATTTCTGTTACACTCCTTATATTGAAAGATCTCAAGTACGTAAATTTCGTCCTATATTGAAGGTCTGTTTATTTTCTGTTGACTTCCAGTCATTAAATTTAATAATTGGCTTCAAAAATTAAATTTCTTAGAAACATGCTTATCAGATATGAAATCAGATAAACCGTATTAGAAACATGACCTTTATCTCATCTATAATCGATTTCACTGTCGCGTTTTACTTTTCGCACGGTAACTCATTTGCATAATGAAATCTTTTCGTAATTCATTATAAGAACGATTTTATGTAATCATTTCGTGCACACTTTTTATGGTGAGACACCTTCCTTTGTGATCCTTTTGAAAGATTAGCGCAAACACTACGACAAGTTAGAAAAGTGAGATGATTAGATGTAAACAAGAGGGAAGGTTCGTGGCTTATCAAGGAGTGGGAGTCTAGCACCTACATTGGATCGCATTTACGAGTATGGCATTTTCTCAAAAGTATGGAATGTGGTTCTTAACAAACCCGGCATGTTAGAAATTTGCAGATGACACTGCAAGAATATCAATAAAGCCGTTTTCTTTAAAGTTCTCTACTGTGACTTCCAGATGCGCAATTGAAGTTAAATTTTGAAAGCGAGGTGGCCACATCTACTTTTTGTTCACTGTGTACTGGCAGTAATTGAAAATGTCTCATTACTGTGTCTATTTAATTATTGAGAACATTGGTGACGAAAATATTTCCATCTTAAAGTTTGGTTGGTTGGTTTTATTTTATGAGTATGAGTACTTTATGAATTCTGCAAAAGTTACGTGTTTCAGAAGAAACAGAAACAGGAATTTCATTGTCTTTCTGAATTTAAAAGCCTACTAACATATGACTCTGCTTATTTTTCCTACAGGTGTACTACAAAAACAATGAACAAGAGGAAAACTTTGTGATTGAAATCATGGAGATATAATTCTGCGGGTGTAAAGTTATGAGCAATGGTTCCATTATATTCTTATAAACGGTATTCAGGTGGAAATTTAGAACACATTTATTACGGTTTAAGATTAGTCTTAGTCAAGTTGGCTAACTCTTTCTTCAGGTGTTTGGAGAACCATATTATCTACTGTAGATGAAGCCACAGTCTGTTGAACAGTTACATTTCATTTGCAATACCTTAGGTTGCCTTTATGTTTTATCAGTTTTGGATAAACTCATTTCAGTGTGTCAGAATTATTTCTTCACGACAGTTTCAAGTAGTTTTTAACGGTCATTCTTCTCTCTGCTTGTTCAATGGAACAAGATGTGCTTCGAATTTCAGAGCCATGTTTTACATCAAGTAATGCAGTATTAGCTTGTAACTGCTCGAGAACACTGAATAGGCGTAAGCCCAAAAGTATTATTATTCTTCTTGATTGAAGCTGTAAGTACATGGACATGAACTGCTTTGATCACAGGTAAAGGGTGAACACAAATTATTCTAACATTTGAGTGGTTTTGCTAACAGAAGTAAGCTGATGTCTTTTAAATAAATGATAATGAGTAATGATGACTGCTACTTCTTAGTCGTTCTTCGCATAGTAAGCCAAAATTGAATTTAGCATAAGTTGACTAGTGTGAATTTTAAAATTCTTCTCTCTCTTCAAATAGCGTGTCTACAACTACATCTCGAATGATAAATAAATGCGGTAAATACTTCTAATCGGTTTCGAGCATCTTTTGTAAATTTGATGGAAATTAAATTGTTAATTTTAGTCCATATTCTACTCATGACCTTTGTTTGAATAACTTTTACTAGTTCATTAACATTTCATATATGAATCTAGTAAATCTTCCATGCCTTACATAACCGAGTAGATGAAATCGTTTTCTATAACGTTTTGCAAGTTATTCTTATTTCTCACATAGAATGCAAGCACCACAACTATGAGTACATTTAAACTTTTATTGAATGGGAAAGCTGTTGTTTAAGGGTGATTAACAGAGTAGGTATCCATTCTCATTTGTAAAAACTAACCTCGAAGTAAAAAAAACTATTTTGAAATGAGATTTATTTTGTCATTCCAGGCGTTATGTGGACTGGGCAAACAATTCTTCATTTAAACTGATATATTGGTTTACTGGTACTGTACTCGATTTTGGTGCTTGATCTCAATAATTATAGCTTCTTATTACAATTGATTATATGTATCATTGCTATTTCCTCGTCCACCTATGTACTGATGTGAAATGTGGGGAATCTGATAGTTAGAAATGTCTAGGACATTGGTAATATGAACCTATTGATCTGATAATTTCAGAATGAGGGGAAGATAACTAAAACTTATGCTATGAATACTGTTTGTTGTTGTTTTGTCTGTCAGTTTGCGGACATTAGTTATGACCTCTTGTTCAACATCAAAAGAATTAAAATATTTTATATACATGAACATTATTAGGACAAGACATATGAGCGAACAATATTGTTTTCAGTTAGATCATCTTCAAGGTTTACTCTAATTTAAATGTACATTATTATCAAAAACTCTATACAATCACTTCACCTACCTCCAATTACTGGCATCCCAAAGGATTAAGTGGTCTCGAAGTTCGGTAAAACTTAAGTTTAAATAAATCATAACAGTTATTCCAACTAAGCATGCCTTTTGCATTTAAGGTCGACTGATAAAATCAGCTACATTTAATTATTTCATACACTTCACATGACAATAACAGTGTCGATTTTGATCGACGAAATTATATTCAAATAAACGGAATAATGATAGCTAATTATTGGCACAATATATTTCATATAATTTATGGGCTGAAAAATTACCCAAATTAAATTTTGAGGATTGGGCAAAATAAAATTTAGTCGCCATTGGTCAAAACTGTATTCATTTTAGTTCACGTTAAAACTATCGGTCAACCAAATAAGAAGGGTATAAGACTACAATATTCATTGGTTGAGACGGGATGATTTGTTAAAATTTATCAGATCTCACAGAATTATTTTTCAACCCAGTTTGATATCAAGAAAACATTTTTTAGATATCGTGTCGTAAAGCACAGTTCAAGTACACTCACGTAATAGAGCTCTTATGAAAGCCCACACGTCATATACGTGGCAAATTTTCTAATTCATTCCTCTCTTTGCGTGATCAGTTTTGAAAACTGAAGAAACAATTTTACTTGAACAATGAGTAAATTTGCTGGTCGTGCATTTAACCTCAAGTTTTTCTATCAAGCAAAAGTAATCTTCAGAATACTTGCAGGATTCATTTTCAAAGATTGTGTGGCAAAGAATCATTTTACATTCGTAAAAATTTAACTATCACTTACAGATCATGTAAGGATTTCTTTGAAATAGCGTTTTAAATAGTCCTCGCTTATAAGTTATGGAAGAGAAACTGTTGAGGTAGTTGATACCTTCCAACTTCCATGCTACCCATTGATCTATTTCGTCATTCAGTATCGTCCTTTCTAAAACTGCAGAGAAGGAGATTTCTCTCTTCTGCGGTGCATTCTACTAGCCGCATACTCGTGAATACATGGTGAAATTTACGCTCAGAAGCCGAGATAAATATCATAACAAGACCGAGATATGCAGCATGCATGGGCATTTGAAATAGTGGAGTAACGAAATGATTACCAAACAAATTGTAATTACATCTTAAGGTAACTGTTTAAAGTGATCAATTCTTTTATGGTGATCACGATGAAGAGAGAGGTCGTGTATACTTACTTATTTTGAGCGTGTAGTGATGGTTTCAACTTTCAAATTCCTTATACGTCATCTTTGTTTACATGTCCTAACTCTATTCCTTTCGAGTTGTCTGATTGCAGTTTGTACAAACTTTTGAAGCTGTGGAGAAAAATATGTCTTTGTTTTGCCTAGTGTTCTTTTTCATAGTTGAGTTTCAGAATCATACTTTCACCTATTATATAGCTGAAGAATAAACTAATATTCCAAAAGCCTTGAATCAGGAAAATTCTCTTCAGTTCCTTCAGTGGAGACTGTTTGTTTTGCGCTTTACATACAAATATGGTTTCAGATTCAATAAAGATGGTGAATGAACAGTTATATGTAAATTATACTGAGTGAGCGGTCGACTAATTAAAAAGCTACTCGTACAACTGGCGAAAATGTGGTTTGGAAGAAAGCTGGAAGGATGATGATGAAAAATAGAACGTTTCGACTGTTTATTTTACTTGATATCAGCTGTATAGACAGAATGAGACATCACTGGTGGTGTTTTCTCTACATCCTGTTCGACAGTTACAATTTCCAGTGGTACACCACAACTGATGCAGATTCATATGCATCCTATTTTAACTGAACTGAAGCTACTCTTTTTCCAGAGCAGAGAAGTGAAAAAATAAAATGCTAACGAAATCTTTGTTTTATAGGATTGCAGCATATTTATCAATATGAACAATTCAGTACTTGTCCTACTTGTCCTTTTCATATTACAAACAAGAAGTGGATACCGAATAGACATAATCTTTGTCTATTATACCTGGAGTTTTTACAAAAATTAAATTTTTACCCATTGAAAAATCATGTTTTTATTGAGGCAAGTTGGTCTAACTCATACAAGACCACTTCAAAGTATAATTCTCGTACTCAGTGTTAGGAATTTTTTTTCTTCCTATAATAATGTTGTATACTGTTTTATGTTACACAATATTATGTTGCTACAATGAAATTCTTTCAAAATCACTTGTTTAATGTGATATCTCAAAATCATAACTACAAACCCGAGTTGCTGAAATAATTGAAACGCGTGTTCAATTGTCTTACCATCACCATTGTAACTTACTCATCTATTATTAAGTTCGATGATCTTTGGTACGGATGCCGTAGTTAATGAAACTGAATTTTAATTGCTGCGTACCTTTCAGAACTTAGAATTTCACCAACTTGACTACATGCTGTGTTTTATACTAGGTAGAGACGAATGTTGTAGTTAGCATGATACCAGTTTGCTTTTATGCCCAAGTTAAAATGTCACACGTAGAATTCATGTTTTTAGCGAAGTGATTTATGTGTTATTTTTCTGAATGAGGTTTGACTAACGACATTAAAGTCTGTTTAAACTATTTCCTTGAATAAATAGAGTTTACACTGGATCATACCATGAGTTTTAAAAAAATGAATGAATATCCGAACAAGGGGTAAGTTGAATTTCATATTTAAATAATAAACACAGAAGCTTTCTCTTGGTAAGAAGAACAAACCGCTAGCACATACTTTGTGAATACATAAGTGACTTTGCCACATACTATCCAGCTGGTATGTTTACGACCGTACAAACAGAGGAGTAATTAAACTATGCAATTTACGCTGACAGAGCACTTTTTCAGGTATGTAGTTGAGAAGCTTTTTTCCGTAAGATATTTAGCAATCATCTTCTTTCTGTTAAAGATTCATTCGAAAAAAAGATAGTATCTTCTTGTAAATATCACCTTATTTGTGTTATTTTAAATATCGGGATTAAACGTTATGGTTTATCGAAATTGAAGTTTTACACCAAATTAGGTGTTTCTGTTAATTCAAAGCAATTTTTGCTAACCATGAAAGTATGTTTTATCTTATCACCATGAAACATTTTCAACTGTGCCATCTCAAAGCGATATTTATCACTGATCAACTTCCTCTGTAGAACAACTGAAAACCTTGCACTGCAGACATGTTTCGTCCTAGTAGGCATACCCATGACAGTGCCTGGGATTGAACTCTGAACCGCTTAGGTTTCATGGTGAGTACATTATCATCAAGATACTTGGTTAAAATTATATGGTCCACAACTTTCTAACTCCGTCAACTAACGATATAGCGTGGCGATCGCCTGATACCGTAGCTAATTTCAGTATCGGTGGTTTGAATATATTAAAATTACACTGTATCTGCAAGCTCCGAAACTCTTCTGATGCTAGTGAGTTGTTTAAATTCAGATCCAGAATAAAGCTCCCAAAAAGTACCTTCTTTAAAATACGAAATCTGATGTTAGCGTAGCATTTCTGTCTGGGTGTTTTTAGTTATTAATACTGGAAATTTCACTGTGCACTTGATTTAGGTAAAAACTATCTGGAATGTGCATTTTTAAAAAGATAATTTAGCTCAATTTTAGCTACAACTATGACTCAAATAATGACGTAAAAGGCAGCCTGAAGATTGTATTATAATCTCAGCAGTCGTGGTCGGATCTCTTTGTATTTACTTAAGTTCCAGTTTAGCCTCCTTAATACAAAATGATTTCACTCTTGTAGTGTGATCTTTCCCGCAGATAGCAAGTGTCTCATACCTTAGAGCTATTTCTTATTCAGTTTTCAAGGACAGTATACCCGATACGAAAATAAGTGAAACAATCCTGAATCGGGAAATTACGATTTCTTATCAACTGTTGTCATACGAAAATTTATAATCTGACCTAATTTATTTAGTGTTCAACCGGAGGACTACTTTGGATTTATTCTTAGCTTCAAGATACTTAGGTTACGAAGAATATTGAGATGCGAGTTTCATCTGAATAAGTTTTTACTTTACTTGGAAGGCAGATGAATTTCTAACTGCATTAAAACATCGAGTAATATACAGAATTTCAGTGAGTCATCTTATGTGTAAAAGAAAATATCTCATCAAGATTCATTGCATGGAAAGCTTCATATCTGATAGTGACATTGTAGTAATCAGGCAAAGTATCAAACAGTCATAGTGATTAAAGTGGAAAAATAAGAGTTTGGTTTCCCACTAAAGGAAACAGATAAAATCATGTTTTTAAGGTTTTGTAACTAAGATAATTGCTTCCATGTTTCTTGGTTTATACTAGAGCAATTATATCATTGTAATTATTTCCAAGTATTTCTGTTTTTTCCCTTATATACCTATTTACCTCACATGTGATTTATAGTGCGCATCTACAACTAGTTAGTTTTGATTATATTCCAAATCTTATTTCAAAACATTAAATTTGTTCGACATTCTGGGGAAAATAACAACGTCTAACAAAGCTCAATTTACAAAAAAATGCAATGAGCTACGCATTTTACGCAAGAACTCAACTAAGAATATCACCATTTTGAAGTTTCCCTTGTTAGTGAAGTATTATCTGCAATAATACACAATTAAATTGATTTTATTATAATTTGTTCCTTGAGTTCCTAGTGAAACGTAGAGCCTCACTAGCATGTCTCCATCTCACTCTCTTCTCTACAGTCTTTCGAACCTCGCTCCATGACTGCCCACAAATTTTCACTTCTTCCTCACATGATCTCCTCCATGTAACCCTCAGCTAGGATGCCCAACTCGTCGTTCCCCATTTAGGGTCCCACTCGATGGCCAGACAGGGAGCGTGATGTCCCTAAATGATCTTCTCAGTGTATCTTCAACTGAATCCATCTACACTTTCCTCTACATATTTGTTGGGTGATGGAATCTTGATTGATTCGTTTCCAGGACAGAGCTCCACCTTGCCTATTCTTCACAGGCATCTCATCTGATCTTCAGTATCGAGCGTAGGCAGCTGCTGATGAATGTCTGTAGTTTGTTGGAAATGCTTTCCGCAATGTGGCAAGTCTGCCAAGCATCACATGGAAGCACTGACTTGACTGAATCAGTGTTGGAAATCCGGATGTTGTTCACGCTTTATGCTGAGTGCAGTAGACCTCCACACTGATTTCAGGTAAATGAGGGCCTGTCTTGCTTTTACGATCCTCACTGGCTTTGACGTTCTCATGTATGCCTGTGCCGCCTGTAGTTCAGACGATGTTACCTTGTCTGGGTAGGTGGAAGAGACTTTTTCCT